GGGGCCATGCCACCCAGGTCTTCTCTGTATGACTCCATATGCCAGGTTGTCTTCCCTCTGCTGGAAGCCTAGGTGAGTGCCCGAGGGCGAGCTCCTGTGCGTTGTCCCTTTAAGAGAGCACCTGGGGTTCTAGCAGACTCCTTTTCCCAGCAGTCAGAGTCCCCACTGATTTTCACTGCCAGATGCTATGCAGGCTCCATTTCCCAGCCCTGGTTTCCTGGGTTGGGGGTCCCAGCACAGGGTTGAGATGTCATGCTCCTCGGTGACACTTTTGCAGCTGAGATATCCCTCCCATCTTCTCAGCTGCTGCACGAGGGTGCAGGGGCCAGCCCTCTTCGAGTCTCTGCCCTTCTTAACAGCATGTATGTGGCTTCTTCTATAAATCCTTGGTTATAATATTCCTTTTTAGTTGTCCTTTTTAGTTGGTAATTCAGGTTGATTGCTACATAATTTAGCTGTAAATCCAGTTTGGCTATAGGACTTGAGTGTAGCTTCCACCTATTCAGCAACCATCTTGAAAATCTACAAATAGTATCTAAATATAAGTCCTACCAATAAAAGAACATATTGATCATGGTTCAACAATAAGAGGTGTATTTTACATATATGTGTGTAATTTTGTATGTTTGCCTATGCAGTTACATACATGTGTATTATTAAATATGTGAAAATTGTGTGCATGAATAAATACATGCATATATATTACATATACATATATATGCAAATTTTTCAAACAAAAATTTCAGGAAAAGATACTTCCATTTACTGTGTGACATATCCTTTGATACTTTTTCTTTTTAATGCTGGTCATAAAAAAATAAGTTGATTAACTGACTTTTAATTTTTAAAACCAGTGACTTAGAAGATTACTTTGAAAAAGATAATTGGGTCCTGTCTCTCTGATTTCTCTCTGGGAAATCTCTCTGAAAAGAGATAATTGTGAAATAATTTTTGTCAGATTTGACCTTATTTGAATCATAACCCTTGTAATGTTATATAAAGTCCAGCAGAACTAACACTTGCTTGAGTGTGGTTGGTAGGGTAATAATACAGGTGTAATAATTTATAGTTTTAATTTGAATATTTCACCTAAAATGTCATATGGTGTGCTTGAGCGTGATATTGTTATGTTACATAATTACATGCTTAGGATTTTATAATAAAAAAAGTGCCAGACTCTGTATGTAGGGCCTGGATTCACATGGATTATACTTTGAGAAACTTACATATTCACTGTACAAAACACTATAAAAATTTATAGTTCATGAAGTATTTGATGATGTCTCTTGAAGATTGGTAAAGTGGATACTGGTTGAATCTGCAATACTCTTGAGCTAGTTTTCAGGCTTTATCATTCCATTTAACAATGTTAGACTGGCTTTACTTACCTAGAATTTCAGGGGACTTTTCAGCCATTTTCACCCTTTCAGGAGGCAGAAGAATCATCAGTAGACCAAATATATAAACCAAGGAATAAATCATACACTATAATATTTTTATATTGGAACTCTTAAGGTATCAATTTTCAGTAACATCCTACCCCCCCCCCCCAAGAAATTACTTTTTAAGCAACACATATACAGGGGTGGGCAAAAGTACATTAATAATAATTTTAAAAAATATAACAGGTAATAAATAAATAACACAAGAATAAATCTGTTTTTTGTACTCAGAACTATAAACCTACTTTTCCCCCCACCTCTGTATTATGTGACTCCTACTCATGCCAGATTTGCAGTTTATTAATCTTGGCTGCTCTGGTTTCCATTTGATTGTTCCTGCATTTCAGAATTACATAGTTTTAATTATAGACTGTATACTTATCTTGTATTTTGTCTAAATATCACTGTCATATTTCTGGTATCTAGAGAAACAAAGTGATGTAAAAGAGTTGGGGCTTTGGATCCAGAAAGACCTGTGTTCAAATCTCAGCTTTATTGCCTCCAAGCCAAACCTGAACACATCACTTAAACTCTGAAACAGTTTCCTTATGTGTAAAATAGGGGCAATACAGGGTAATTGAGAGTGTATCTAATAATATTTAGTATGGTGTTTGGTACATAAAAGACAATCAGCAAAGCTTTTCTTTTGTTTTCTGCTTCTCAGTAGAAATATGCTTTTCTTCATACTAAGTATACATGAAATGAGTGATGAGAATTCTCCTCACAATTATTTTCAGAAGGATTTTAGATTTTCATTATATATAGTTATAACAATTTGGAGATTTTATGTGTAACTATGGTGTGAGCTTAATGTTCTTGACTTCTGTGGCTCATATACTTAATGGGCTGAAGAACAGACTGAAGACTAGAGAAGGAATTAGATAATTTTATCCTATGACCTACTTAAGACCTTTTTGTATAAATATATATCCAATTATATATACTAGAGAGATCAGACTAAGTAAAAAGGTAGCCTTTTATGAATTAATTTAAATTATACATGTTCTGTTTAGTCCTCGATAAAAGGACATTTCATATCCAGAATGCCAAATTTTTATTGATAATCTTTGAACAGAAAGTCGGGAATGCCACAGGCAACCTAGAGACAAGACAGGTAAATGAATATGCTTTGCTGTGTATAGAGAGATGAAATTATAATAGGGTATAAAATTTCATTATGAATTTCATCTGTTTATTTTAATGCTTCCTAACCAAGGCACTTGTATGATTCATAACATTTATAGATCCTGAGATACTGTCTGTAGCCATAAAGTAATGTAAACTTACCTTTTCAACTTTGATATAGGTTTCTTTTTTCATACTTATGTCATTTTATTCTTCTCCCTACCTGCCTCAATTTTATTGAGGTATAATTGACAATTTAAATTGTACATATATTTAAGGTATACAGTGTGATGTTTGATATTCAACTTTAATTTTGCTTCACTCCAGTTCCTTGAATCAATTAGGACTTTAACTCCTGTAATTTTCATGAATTTTTATGAATCATCACATTTTTCTTATTTTTTATTAAAACATTTATTAATATTTTTAATGTATTACCAAATTAAGTATAAGGATAATAATCATAAATATTGAGTTTTTGTGTGTGTGTTTTAAATTAGTGTTCATCGAAAGAAGAGTCCTGGGTGAATGCCATTTTATAGTTTTAAAATAAAAATGATCTTTCCAGTGATTCTTTCTGAATAGCAGTACAATATTTTTGAGATGACATGTATCTTACAGAACATTTTAATATTTAAAATGTACCTATTTGTACTTCCCCAAATCTTCAAGTTGTCTATACAGATTGAGTAAATCTGTGAATTAAGAAATAATATATTACAGTAGCCTAAAGGTTGAATAATGGTGACAGGTGCCACAGTGAAAAAGGACATTAAGTTGATCTTTTTTCCAGCGGAGTCTATTAATCTAATCTACATGTTTAAGGTTATTAATTCATTTTCATATTATAGTTTACCAACTGTAATGTTAGTAGGCTAATGTAGAAAGAAGAGAGAAATGTTCTACCCTTTAAATATCAATAAAATAATTATATGCATTAAAAAATAATTTATTGCTAACTATTGATGATCCTAATGTTCTGTTGAGTATTTCCATTCTAACTTTGAAATTTTTTTTTAGTTTACTTCTAGCGAATAATCTTTTATTACCTATGTACATGATATTAAACCTCTAAAATTTAAATCGACAAGATTTTTGTATTTATTATAACATACTAAGTTTGCAAACAGTCATGTAGTTAAGCCAATACATATGCATTAGTCAAGGGTAAAATTTGATTAACTTAAAAAAATTAAGTTTAATGTTGGCTACATAATGTGTTATATACTATTATGTATTAGTGATATCACCACTTAAAGTAATATCCATTTCTTAATACATTTGAAGATATTAATAAAGTCTAATTTGTTACTCTGTTACCCTACAGTAAAATGGTAGTAGACACCTATCAGAATGCTTCATTTCAGAATCAAGAAAAACTAATTGAAATTTAGAAGAATTTAATTTTAAAGTTATTGCAAGTGACTTGGTATTAATGGTCTTAATAGAGGTAGTACTCCAGTCTTCTGATAGTTTTTACAGGTTTTAATATTGTGTTACCATAAAGGTGAATTTTTATTTATTTATTTTTTTCACTGAAGCTTTGCTTTTCAGAAATTATCCTTAGGAAAAAGATGAAGGAATCAAATTCTGATAAAGAAGTCTTAGTTAGGCTCTTCACTTTTTCATGTGCTGTGGTCCATATGGATCTAGCTCTAATTCTAGGAAAGTCTGTCTTAAGTATTTCAACAGTAAAAACTTCATTGTATCAGATTCTACTGACATAGAAGTGTGAAGGATTAAGATGTTAGCGGAACAGATTTCATTTGTATACTGTGGGGTGGAGGGAGAGTAGCTTGTTAAATAGATCAATTTATCTGAAATTAATTTCCCACCAGGACAACCCTGGAGACTTATCAGTCATCCTTCTTCCTACCACAAAATGCCTATGAGGCAGGCAGTAATATGTTACGGAAAATCTCCACATCCATTGCAGTTGGCATGGCTATATAGCACTACTCTTGGGGGAAAGTTCTTGGAGGAGGACTCCTTGCCTCTTCTTCCGTCTGCCATCTCTAGACCTGCTTATCAACCTTCAGTGAATTTGTATTACTTTAAATGAATAAGACTTAAAAAATTATTTAAATGATTTTAAGGTGGTATTTTGTAGGAGAGAACCCAGGAACTTAAAGTTTATAGTTACCCTTATGAAGACAAAATAAAAACTACTTAGTTAGAACTTTAAGTCACTTAAAAGAAAATGTATAATGCAGTGTTTTTTACATTGCAAGCACTCAAATGTATGAGGAATGATTTGCATTTGAAATGGTCATAGTGTCTTTTAAATACTTAAATTTAATCACTCTGTTTTTGCCAGTGAGACATTTTATCCAGGCATAAAAGGCATGAATATAGTTAGCAGAAATATAATTGTTAACTTTAAATAAAATTCTATTTTAAATCATAATATATCAGGAAATTGTTTTTGTACAGGTAAATGGTTGCAGTTTTGTGGTGAAAACAGGAAAGCCTACAAATTTATTAAGGGTACAGTATTTAAAACTACTCACGATACTAATGTTTTATACTATTTAAAACCACCTGGCTCATCTTGCTTACTAACAGTTTTTCTGCATGTATTTCTTTCTGTGGTCAAATCCTAAATGCTTTTAATGTTTAACAAAACAAAATTATCCACCTTTTGTTATAAAACTCAATTGTAACAATTTGCAGATGTCTTGTTTTTGCTTTTGAGGTATATATAACATTGACAACAAAGTAACCAATAAACTCCCAGGTGAGAGTGATGTTTTAAAGTGGACTTTGCTTTGAATATATGAATTCCCTTTCCTGAGGAATGTTGCTAGTACCTGAATTATTCAAAATCTTGGATTGATTTAGGAAGAAGAATTTGGTGTTGATGATTCTTATTCTGAACATGGAGCACAGTACAGTCAGACCCACCTAGAGATGTTAGAAAATGAATTGGTTGGGAAACAGCATGAAATTGAAGAGCTAAACAGAGAACTGGAAGAATTGAGGGCCACCTATGGGACTGAAGGACTGCAACAAGTATGTTTACCCTATGTGGCTTTTGTTACAAAAACAAAAATAGAAAGTTTGAATGGTAATATACATACATTCTTTAAAGATGGGGTTATTAAACGGTCCCTTTATTTTTCTCCTAATGTGAAATTTTTTTTATCTAAAGTATTTTATTTTACTAAATATAAACTCAGAATTGTCAATTTTTCAATGCCCTACTGTTATTCATATGTATGTATACACACACACACACACACACACTCTTCATAAGCATGCTTACTTAAAAACAGGATTTTATTAACAGAGCTAATAAAACATGGACTCTTTTATTTAACTTTATGAGATAGATAGGCTGAAATCACTTCAGTAGGGTAGGTATTTTTGCAATCAGCCTGAGAGAAAATTATTGTGCAAACCATACCAAAATATGATGATTTAAACTAATTAAAAGTGTTACTGAGTTCTTGTAAGTAACCTCTTGTTGTTAAAATGACATCTGTTGTTTTTGGCAGTCAGTTATACAAACAAGATAAAATAGGACATTGATGAGGGTGACAGAATACATTGCAGTTTCGTATCTCCAGAAAAGAGTGAGGATTGAATGTGTCTCTGATGGTGTTGCTTAGGAACAGACCGAGGCATCCCTAAATATAATGGCACTGTCCTTCTGGAAGTAGACACAGGGACACATTAGACCTAACATGTTTTGTTCCTACGTTCAGATAACTGTTTTAAAAGTTGATTTAAAGTAAAGCCAATTCCTGCAAGTTAATAGCTTCAATTATGGAAAAGGTTGCTTATAAATTATAATAATTTCACCACTGAGTTTTGAAATCATATTTTTTGAAGAACAGTTACCTCTAAAAATCAATTTCGTTTAAAAAAGCAAGCCTACAACTCAATTTCACTGATGTCTTTTAGTTACAAGAATTTGAAGCTGCCATTAAACAAAGAGATGGCATCATAACCCAGCTTACTGCTAATTTACAACAAGCAAGAAGAGAAAAGGATGAGACAATGAGAGAATTTTTAGAGTTGACAGAACAAAGTCAAAATTTACAGATTCAATTTCAGCATGTAAGTATTACTAATAGAACAACATTTATTAGAATTTTAGTAAGCAATTAAATTTTTTTTCACGCTTTCCAAAACGAATTTAAATTTGTTTAAAATCCACTTGCTTATTATGTATCACGTTGGAAAAAATAGTGAATACCCATTGTTATGTTAACTAAGAATTTCACACTTCTTGAGTGGTTTCTTGCTTTTATTTATTTATACTTCTTTTTTATCTGTATTTTGAAGTCCTGCAAAACTTTATAAGTCTGATTGGGTGGCGTTTTGCATAAATTAACATGCAGTCACATCCTACCTTTGCCAACTCTGGTATGATTTTATTTTAGTTAGAGGCTAAAATGGTAACTAGACTGCATATACTCCATTTACCTTTAATTAGAACCATAGGAATTTAATTGTATTTGTCAAGGTTTCTGATGGCAAATAATGGAAAATAAATAATTTGAAATAGCTTAAGCAAAAGAGATGAATATAATGTAAGGATACAGGCTTATCTTATAGAAGTCAAGGCAGAAATACAATTAGGCCTTTGAAATTTATTGGGACAAGAAAATCATCAGGAATACAGGAAGAACTATCTTTCAGGCCCCATTTCTTACTGTTTATCTGCCTCAGTCTTTTCTATCTCATTAAACTATTTTCTCAGCTTTATTATGGGAAAAATATTCTTACTGGTTCATTGTGGATAATGTGCCTATACGCACCCGATCAGCCATGGCAGTATGTTTGCTGGGACCTCAAGCCTGTAAATTCAGCGCAGTTCCCAGACAGCAGTTGTGAGCGATTACCCACAGGAGTTGTCTGTTTCTTAGTGGATTCACTTCAGATTTAATACTTCGGGGTTTCTTTCTGTTTTCAAGTTACAGGCTAGTGAAACTCTGAGAAACAGCACTCATAGCAGCACAGCTGCAGATTTACTACATGCCAAGCAACAAATTCTCACTCATCAGCAACAGCTGGAAGCACAAGACCATCTATTAGAAGATTATCAGAAAAAGAAAGACGACTTCAAAAACCAAATCAGTTTTTTGCAAGAGAAAATTAAAGCATATGAAATGGTATGTTTATTTCAAAGAGGCAGAAGCTTTACAATTATCTTTGAAGTTTTGTATGTAAGTGCTTATCTTTTTGTTATGTACGTGAATCACAATGTTACAGTTAAGAAAAGCTCTTTAAGTTTGTAAAGTAATTTATTTCAAAAGCAATTAGAATCTCACAATAGTTCTTTAAGATCATACCCATTACTGAATTCCTTATAAGTAATCAGATTATATTTTATTTATATTTCTAAAGATAAATTTAGGTTCAGAAATGTTAAGTGACTTGCTTGTGTCCACCCCACTAACAGTTGCCAGTGTTGGGATTCAGACTCTGTCCAGTTGGCCCAGAGTCAGAATATCTTGCATTACACTGCACTGCCCCATACTGTCTTTATTCTGCCCTCTGTCCATCATCTTCAGGGGAGAGCTAAAACAAGGCAAAGGTGTGGTTTCCTTGTTTGATATCAACTGGAAATATTAATGTTCAGCAACTCAAATGCAGAGAGTTTTACCACTCTGCACTTCTGAAAATGACTGAGACAATTGATTTTGGGGTTAAAAATAAATTTTAGCAGTAGGCGAATTCACAAATACAGAATTTGTCAATAATGAGGACAGATGGTACATATAATACAGTGCTTTTTTTTTATAAACTTAGGGGGTATTTCTGTAAGAGGTTGAGAAATTACCAAGACAGGAGTATTGTTTGACTAATAATAAAATTATTTCCTAGCCTCTATTTTTGTTCACTTGGTACCAAGCAGTATTCAGAGTATTTTGTACATTTTAATTCATTGATTCATTGCAACAGCCTTCTGAGGCAGAGGTACCATTATCATCTCCATTTTACTGATAAGGACACCAAGGCAAAAGCAAGATGAAGCAGTTTGCCCAAGGACACCAGCAGTGAGTTGGTAGAACCAGATATCAAACCTAGGTAGTCTGACATCAGAGACTATGCTCTTAGGAAAATAGAAAATATACAAATTTAAGATAATTGAAATTACAAAATGGACATGCTTTACAACCAAGGTAATTTAAAAGTCATAATGTACATAGTCACAAAACACTTGTTCTGTACTAGGCCCTTGCAAAGGATAGTGATGTTAAAATGTGTCCTTTTCTGCACTGGAATTCATGGTGTGGTAGGCCATGTACATAAGACACCACACAACAAAGATAAATGTAGGTGAAACGTGTTGAAAGTTCTGAGTAGGTCTGGCTTCATAAAGGAGGTGATTCAGGGTAGGTTTTAGGGAGGAGGTGATGTATGAGGTAGATCTACAAGTTGGAACAATCTCTTTGTTTTTGTTTCCTCAGCAGTTGGCGTAATGTGTGGCACATAGCAGCTATTCAATATTTATTTGGCAAATAAGTGAATAAATTATTAATCTGAACTGAAAGAATTGGGGAGGACATTTTAGACACAGGATAGCGTGTGCATAATGACCCAGGCTAATACATGTTGAAAATGTATGGGAACAAAAAACAGTTTAACTAGAAAACAGTATTCTTTGAAAGTGAGTCTTTCCAGGACAAAAGTAGACAGTTCAGATTAGAAGAGCTTGGAAATTGGATTTTATTGTATTATATTGTACTTGGTAGAATAATTTAAAATTATTTATAATGCAAATAATTCATTTATGTAGGAGGAATAACCTTTGTTTATTTTAATGTTAGCAAGAATACTTTTATTATCATTCTGTTTTTTCATCACATATATATTTTGTTTTTTCTTTCCCTTTCTTTCTTTGAATGAATCCTCCTGAGTGATTCCATCACAGTAGCTGAGGGAGTAGAGCATTAGATTAGGGTGATAGTTGAAAATGTCTTGGTCCTCTGGACACCGGCACTGATAATTCCAGGCTTACTCACATTGTCTCAGTCCTGTGAACTCCCGTGATGTAGTAGTCACAGGTGGGAAGAACATTATTCCCTGCTCTCTCAGGTCAATGTCCAGAAGTAGAGGGATTGAGACAGAATTCTTAAAAAAAAAAAAAAAATACAGAATAGGTAGTTTAAAACCATGCATTTTGAAATAAATGGTACTAAGAAAAATGAACCATGAATTTGTATTGTTTAATAGTTGAATGAAGAATTATTGCTGTTTGTTTACAGTTATAACAGGTGATGGACAATTTTGAATTAAATGGTACTGTTTTATGAGGGGTTTTCCCCCATAGAAAATCAGAAAATAGAAATGTTACAGATTTATAACAATGTTCATATTTTCCAGACAATTTAGTTAATTAACAATTTAACTGAAGTTGACCTTCATGAAATGATTTTACTTTCTTATAGGTTCCAAATGCCTTATAGGTTTTTCTAGTTTATAAATATATTACATTTATTTATAACAAAATATATTTATTTTGTTTTAATATATTGATTTTTGTTTTGAGTACATTCTGAGAGATAGAGGAAATAATATCTTTATTTTATAGATGAAAACATCAAGATTTCAGAGAATAAACTGATTTAAATGTCATATGATAGTGCTGAAGTTAAAGTAAGAAGGCTCAGTTCTTGGTAATATGTTATGGTGACATTGGATGGGATAGGTGATACTGAGACAAAAGGTGATAGGATTTTGCTTAGGCCTCTGCACAGGATAACATGATTGCCTTCATTAATTTATATAGTAAAAAATCTGATCTTTTACTTTTAGGCTCAGAAGTCTGATTTGGTTTTTATATTCTATCAACTGAGACTTGAGCTCTCAGAGGTGAACTCAGATTTTCCAACTTCAAGAGTCTAATGTTTAAATCTTAAATATAAGATTATTAATATGTAATGAGAAATATTTTTCCAGAGACCTGCACTTCAAGTTCATTGGATTTTACTTTTGAAAAACCAAATAATAAGAGAAAGTTGTTTAGTGAGCATGAGATCAAGGGGTGTTAGAAGAATGAAATGTTCAGGGCATTAGGCTGAGGTAACCTGATGCATTCACCTCAAAGTAGGAATGATCGTGCCACTGGGTTGAAGTTCTTATATTCTGTTTGCTACAGCCCCCTACATTACTTCCTATATTTGAAATGCTTTTCTCGGAAAGATTGGAATTCTCAGACTCATGGCACCTTGGTTTTCTTCCCTGGACTGTACACAAATGGACTCTGCCAACATTTCTCTTTGAGGTGTTCCTTTTTCTGGGCTTTGACATTCTTTCTTTGTCTACATTAATATATTCATTCAACTTGCCTTTAAGTCCCTTTGTCCTGGGTCTCTTGTCTCCTTAAGGTGATTTAGTTTCCCTACCTAATGATTCTTTTTTATTCTGTGGATTTTACTTTTTTCTTTGTCCTTCAGACTACAACCCTTAACTACATTACTTAGGCAACCAAGTAACAGGGGCAAAACTTGCCTCTAGGGCTTCTGTCTGACTCCCTGTTGGTAAAAAACTCCTATGAATAATTGTGATAAATGATAATGATAGCTTTGGTATGTGATCTGGGTTTAGGCTTATCTACAATTACAAAATCAAATCCCAAACCAGGAAAAAGTATCTGTCCTGCTTTCAAATTTCTATTTAAACCAAAAGTCTAGGACCAAGTTGATATGTCATAAATGTTAATGGTTGTCTTGCATGTCACTTGAAGTTCAACCACTTAAATGTTGCATAGCCCTACATTTCTAATTCCCTTTGGCCCAGGAATGAATTTAAGGCATTTGCCTATCAAACACCTTCAGGTCATTAGAATACATGGAAGGAACCTTGATTTTTAAGACTTCTAAAACTATAAAGAGTACATAGTAAGTGCTCTAACTAGCTGGAGAAGATACTAAATGCTTAGAATATTGTTCAGTAAGAAAGATGAAAGTACAATGGTTTAGATACTTTTTAATATGACTGTTAAAGTTAAAACTTCTAATCATAGCAATGTTAAGAAAATTTCTTCCTCCCAAGAAGGCCAACACTATAATGTTTCCTCACAGGTAATGTTAAGTAAACAAGCATCTTCCTGTGTCTCATTGGCTTAGGAAAAAATTAAGGGATGGGCTCAGCAGTCACTTTTTATACAATTATGTAAAAATACTACTCTTGGTAATGGGGTTAAGTGACATAAGTTGCCATGAAAGAAAAATACCATTTTTATATTTTTATTTTTTCTTTTTAAAGGAACAAAATAAAAGAGTAGAAAGCTCAAATAAAGAAATACAAGAAAAAGAGGCAATCATTGAAGAATTAAATACAAAAATAATTGAAGAAGAAAAAAAAACTCAAGAGCTAAAGGATAAAGTCACAGCTGCTGACAAATTACTGGAAGAATTACAAGAACAGATTGTACAAAAGAACCAAGAGATAAAAAGCATGAATTTAGAGCTGACTAATTCCAAACAAAAAGAAAGACAGTGTTCTGAGGAAATAAAACAATTAATGGGGACAGTTGAAGAACTTCAGAAGAAAAACCATAAAGATAGCCAATTTGAAACAGATATCCTGCAAAGAATGGAACAAGAAACACAAAGAAAGTTAGAGCAACTCCGGGCAGAGCTGGATGAGATGTATGGGCAGCAGATAGTGCAGATGAAGCAAGAATTAATAAAACAACACATGTTACAGATAGATGAACTTAAAACACAACATAAGGGAGAAATAGATAATGCTTTAAGATCATATCCAAATATTACAGTTAATGAAAATCAAGTCAAGTTAATGAATATGGCAATAAATGAACTGAATATAAAATTGCAAGATACTAACTCCCAAAAGGAAAAACTCAAGGAAGAACTAGGAATAATTTCAGGAGAAAAGTCTGCTTTACAAAGACAGCTTGAAGATCTTTTTGAAGAATTGAGCTTTTCAAGGGACCAGGTTCAGAGAGCTAGGCAGACGATAGCTGAGCAAGAAAGTAAACTCAATGAAGCACATAAGTCCCTTAGTACAGTGGAGGATCTGAAAGCTCAGATTTTATCTGCATCTGAGTCCAGGAAGGAACTAGAATTAAAACATGAAGCAGAAGTTACACATTATAAGATAAAGCTTGAAATGTTAGAAAGAGAAAAGAATGCTGTGTTAGACAGAATGGCTGAATCACAAGAAGCTGAATTAGAGAGACTAAGAACACAGCTTTTGTTTAGTCATGAAGAAGAACTTTCCAAACTAAAGGAAGATTTAGAAATTGAACATCGAATAAATATTGAAAAACTGAAAGATAACTTAGGTATTCACTATAAACAGCAGATAGATGGCTTAACGAACGAAATGAGTCAAAAGCTAGAAACCATGCAGTTTGAAAAAGACAATTTGATAACTAAGCAGAATCAACTAATTTTGGAAATCTCAAAGCTAAAAGATTTACAGCAGTCCCTTGTGAATTCAAGATCAGAAGAAATGACACTTCAAATCAATGAACTTCAAAAAGAAATTGAAATACTCAGACAAGAAGAAAAGGAAAAGGGTACACTTGAACAAGAAGTTCAAGAATTACAACTTAAAACTGAATTATTGGAGAAACAAATGAAGGAAAAAGAGGATACGCTTCAAGAAAAATTTGCACAACTTGAAGCAGAGAATAGTATTCTTAAAGATGAAAAAAAAACCCTTGAAGGCATGTTGAAAATATGTACTCCTGTTAATCAAGAAGAAAGATCAGTTTTCATGGACTCCATTAATTCCAAATCCAAAGATGGTAGCTGGCAAAAAGAAATAGAAATACTGACAGAGGAAAATGAGGACCTTAAAAAACAATGTATTCAACTAACTGAAGAGATTGAGAAGCAAAGGAACACTTTTTCATTTGCTGAAAAAAATTTTGAAGTTAACTATCAGGAGTTACAAGAAGATTATGCTTGCCTTCTCAAGGCAAAAAATGATTTAGAAGACAGTAAAAATAAACAAGAAGTAGAGTATAAAAGCAAGCTTAAAGCACTTAGTGAAGAGCTTCATCATTTCCAAAGAATAAATCCAACTACAGCAAAAATGAAAAGCTCTGTCTTTGACAGCGACAAAACTTTCATAGCAGAACCATTGGAAATTGGTGAGGTGGTTGAGAAGGATACGACAGAACTTATGGAAAAACTTGAGGTAACCAAGCGAGAAAAATTAGAACTGTCAGAGAGACTGTCTGATCTTTCTGAACAATTAAAACAGAAACATGGTGAAATTCATTTTCTAAGTGAAGAAGTTAAATCTTTAAAGCAAGAGAAGGAGAAAGTTTTATTGAGATGTAAAGAGCTAGAAATCATAATTAACCATAATAGGACAGAAAATATGAGGGGATGTGATGTTCAGTTAAGCTCTTTAAAAGATGGAGTTATGACTATGACAAGCAGGGATTCTGAAGGATCAATTTCTACAATTAATAAAGACTTTGGTGAATCAAAGGAAATGGAGGATGAGAAAATACCTTTTGAAAATAGGACTATTAGGAAAGAAAGCAAGCAAGAACAATTGTTTTTGGACCACTTGCCATCAGTGACAAATGAATTATCACTTAGGATAACTGAACCAAGTGAAAATGACCAACTTCAGCAGGAACTCAGTGTACTTAAATCAGAACAGGTATGTTTTCTTATTTATATATGCTAAAGCATATTGCTAATGTACACTTTATACTAAAAATGTTTTTATCTTCCTAAAACATAAATTAACCCCTTTCCAGGAGAATTAAGCTGAACACTGTTATGTAATTTTCATTTGGGCCTATCATTTATTTATTATTTCTTTTATCTGCTTTTTCTTAAACATTGTTGACTTTCAGTTAATCTATGTTGTACATTCTGCTCAAGAAATAAAGAAATAGTAATGGTTTTGGATTTTCTTTGGAAAGACAAGAGTTTAAATAACTTTGTTGAGAATGTAAGCTTTAGAAAAGTTTACTATTTTGTTATAATCCCAAAGATTGGTTTCAGAATTTTATTTCATACTGGTGTTTTCAAGGTTCCACAACTGAAAATTAACTCTTGAACTTTAAAGTGCTCTATAGTTGTTTAGTAGTTATGAAACTGTATTTCCCTGGGGGGGGGAAAAGTCTCAGTTTAGTTGGGTTTTCTTCGAATATTGTTACTATGGGGGTACCCAAGAAAACATGGGATTTATTTATAAATGTGTGTTTATTTTTACACATTTAAACTTCAGTCACCTTTAAAGTACTCTCCATTTGATGCAATACACCTATAGAGATTTTTTTCCACTGCTCAAAACAGTTTTTGAACTCTTCAATTTTGATGCCTTTTAGTGTTTCTGAAGTTTTTTGTTTCATCTCTCCAGCATGGACAAAATGTTTCCCTTTGAGGGCTTTTTTAATCAGGGAAACAAACAAAAATGTTGCTCTGGATGAGATTGGGTAAATAGGGAGGGCGGGGCATGGGGGTCATGCCATTTTTGGTGAAAAACTGCTGAATACTCAGCACGGTGTGCTCATTAGTCACCCATCATGAAATGGGCAAATGCATTCAAGAATCTTCAAGAAAAATTTACTGAAGCTGAACGCAGCCTTTTACAAATAACACCAGCTGGTACACTGGTAGAGATGGATTTCTAGAGCACTCACCCAGCGGGGAAAGCCTGTACTACAGTGGGCCTGCCCTCCAGGAGATAATTCCAGTTTTATTTTGGGTCCCACTTTGTATACCTGCAAGCGAAAACAACACTAATTCTAAATACAGTTAAAGCATGCCTGTGGTAAGTAATAGTAGATCATTCCCAACAATTTATATTTACTAGACATTAATGTTAGAAATAACAGAAAGCCCTGACTGGTGTGGCTCAGTGGGTTGAGCAACAGACTGTGAACCAAAAGGTCACTGGTTCACTGGTTTGGTTACTGATCAAGACATATTCCTGGGTTGCAGACCAGGTCCCCGGCTGGGGATGTGCAAGAGGCAACTGATAGATGTTTCTCTTGCACGTTAATATTTCTCTCCCTCTCTTTCTCCCTTCCTCTCTCTCTAAAAAATAAAAAAAATTAAACCAAAAAGAAACAACAGGAAAATTCCAATGGGTATCTTGTATATATAATGATGTTAACTCTAGCTTTATGTGTTTCTTCATTTATGTATCAGGTATTGAATCTCTTGCAAGGTATAGGAGTATAGTGGCAAACGAGAAGGAAGATTCCTGCTCTCAGCATATATTCTAGTGAGGGAGGCAAGCAGTATACAGTGAAACAGGTGGAATAGTTAGACATAGTAGTAATAAGTCCTATGAAGAAAATAAAACAGATGATGTGACAGAGAATGATGGGTAGTGGTGGCAGCAGCATGAAATAGGGTGGTGAGGAAAGGTCTGTTGGAGAAATTGACATTGAGAGGAGATCTGAATGACAGGGAGGAGCCTACTTCAAGGAAATCAGAGCAATTGTGCAGACATAGATGAATTGAGAGAAGGAGTGGAAGAAGAAGGGTTTGAAGACGAAGGAAGAGACCAGATCTTGAAGAGTCTTACAGACTTTGTAAGATGTTGAGATTTTATACATATATTAGGAAGCCATTGGAATGTATTCTCTTTATTATTCTAATATGTTCATGTTTATGATATATCAAATGTGAAGATACTGAATTATATCCATTTTAGTAATTTAAATATAGTTAAATTCATACTGCATAACCGTTAGTGTTTTGTTAAATACCTGGAATTATATTTAAAACCTTAAACTGATTTTAAGTTAAATACTCATAAAAATACCGGAAATCATTTAAATATTTTAAAAAGCATTATTGGGAGAGGACCTGGATTTAAAGATGTCAAAATGGTAAAAAATTTTTTCAATAAGAATTTTATTTTTCCTACTAAAGACATCTTAAGTGACATTCAGTACCCTCTCCTTGACATTAACTTAGAGAAAGTGAAGAGAGGCAAGCCTATAAATGGTCCCTGGCCACTCATCACTACCAAGACAGACCCCCTTATTGGTAGTGAGGGGAGTGAGGTATGTGTGTGTGAAAGGAAACTCACAGAAGAAATTGAGCAGTAATTTACACAATGGTGACACCTAAGAGCAATCTAAATATGCTTAGAAATAATGCTGAGGCCACAAAAAATGCTTCTATTCCTGGACTAGGCTTGGCAGATAGAACAGATATCCTCTCACTGAAACCAAAGTAAATGTGGTATTAAGATTTTTTTAATAATAATAATTAAAGGTAATACATAATTTTGAAGTATAATTCCTTATTATTTTAATGTAAGTAGGGAGATTGAGCAGAAGGAGAAAAATAAAAACATAGAAGTTGTTACTGTTGGGATGAAGGCAAGGAAGAAGAAGAGTGGCAGGAATGTTATTGATATGATTGATTAATGATGCTTGGGGACAACATGGACTGAAGTGTGTATGTGTAAAATTGAAGGTACTAATTAGAATTGAAAAGGCATTGGAGCTTAGAAACTGTAAGAAGAACGACTAGAATATCAGCTCCTTGAAAGCAAGATTGCCTGTCTGCTGTATCCCTATGGACTAGAACAAATGTCTGACACATAATAGGCAGTTAATAGAATTTTTAAGCCCTGATCAGTGTGGCTCAATTGGTTGGACATAGACCCACAGAGTGGAGGGTTGCTGATTCAGTTCTGGTCAGGGCACACGCCTGGATTGCAGGTTTGGTCATGGTTGGGGTGCGTACAAGAGGGAACCAGTTCTCTTTCACATTGTTTCTCTGCCTTTCTCCTCTCCGCTCCCCTCTTTCTAAAAATAAAATCTTTAAAAAATAAATTTTTTAAATTAATGAAAAAGAGGAAGAATAAACAAAACAAAGCCAGTTTATCAAGACCCAACAGTAAAACAGCATAGACCTTTATGTTCCAGTCAGGAACAAGATCAGGATAGCTTTTGTCACTTGTTAATACATTGTTCCATATGTCCTAACGAATACAGAGACAAAAGGTTTGTGCTGTAAATGGAGAGAAATGTAATCGTTATAATCCACAGATGAAATTAAATACCTAGAAAGTTTAAGCAAATGAACTGAAAAGCTTTAATGTATGATAAATATGAAAAACTTAATTAAAATGTGCAAGATCAATATAAATAAAACTATAATACTTCAATGAAGGACATGTAACATAAACAAGAAGAATAATTTATCAATGGGAGATATTTAATATTGTAAAATGCCAAGTGTCTCTAGAAAATTCTACGAGGCTTATATAATCCTAATAAAAAATTATAATGAAATTTTTTTTAAAGATTTTATTTATTTACTTTTAGAGAGGGGAAGGGAAGAAGAAAGAGAGGAAGAGAAACATCAGTGTGTTTCTGATGCACCCCCTGCTGGAGACGTGGCCCAGAACCCAGGCATGTGCCCTGACTGGAAATCGAACCGACAACCCTTTGGTTTGCAGGCCGGCACTCAATCCACTGAGCCACACCAGCCAGGGCTATAATGAAAATTTTTTGAAATTTAATTTAATTGGTTTACAGTTTGTCTGCAAGAATAAATGCACAAGAAGAGCCAAGAATATTTTTGATAAAAGTAATGCAGAATGCATGAAACATGTCATACAAAGGACAATTTTTAGCTTTAAATATAGCAATTTTACAAACAAGAAATAGTAAAAATTAAGTTACTCAATAGAATAACAAAGCACACTGGAAGAAGGTAGAAGGAAGGAAATAATTAACAGAAATAAGCAAAGTTGGAATAACCAAAAGAGAGAATTTTTAATGATACTGAAAGCTTATTCTTTGAAAAGATTAGTAAGAGTTATTAGGCAGGCCTCTGAGAAGATACTCAAGGAAAAACAACAGACATAAACAAAATGAAGAATGCAAATAAGAACTTTAACCCAGGTATCAGAGATTTTAAAAATCATAATAGAATACTATCATTAATCTGTGTCAATAAATTTGAAAGTATAGATAAACTAGATGGTTTTCTGGAAAAATAGTCAAATCTAACTCAAATAGAAATGCAAAACCTGAATAAACCAATAACCAGTTAAGCGTTTGAAATAGAAATATGCATTCTCCCCAAACCAAAAATTGTATAATTGTGTACGCTGAAGTCATTACATAAGTGGGTATACGAACTCTTTAAATCAATATATTATCACTTAACTAAAATAGGATGGAAGAGGGGGAAGAAAAGGAGGAAGGAGGAAAAGGTATCCAGTATATGTTATGAAGCTGGTATAATACTGATACCAAAACTTGACAAGAACAGTATAAGAATGTAACAGAAAAATCTCACTTATGAGTATGGTTGCAGAAATCATAAATAAAATATTTCAAGGGAGAGCAAACCCATATCAGCATTTCAACAGATATCGGAAAAGAGCCCATTAAAATTACAACAATTCATTTATAATTTTAAAACTAGGAAACCTGGAATAGAAATTTCTTGACTGTGATAATGATTTTTATCAAAATATTTAGCAGATAGCATTTGTAATGGTGAAATTTAGAAACATTTCTATTAAAATCAGGTGTAAGACTAGGATTCTCATTATCAACTTTACTGTTTTAACGTTGTCTTCAATGCTGTATGACAAGAAGTAAGAAATAAAGAATGTGAACAAAAGAAACAAACTTTAAACCTACACTAGATGTTTTGAACTTAAGAAAATTAAAAAACATTGAAGTACCTCAAGACCTGCTTATATGACAATATATACCATATTGACAGTGAAAAGATACAATATAGAAATGTAATTTCTCTCAAATTTTTATATTCGACTGAAGTTCCAGTGAAAATTCCAATAAGATTTTTCATGAATCTTTAAAAACTGATTTTAAAATTGATGTAGAAGAGTAAATATTCAAAAACAGCCAAGACAATCATAGAAAAACTAATTTTACCTAATAGCAATACATTAAAAAATCATAATAGACAATATAGTATTGATGCTGGGATGGAGAAGTAGATCAGTGGTGCTTAGTGGAAAACTTGGAAACGTATCTAGATACTTTTGAAATTTTAGTATGTAGAAGAGGAGGCCCTACCAATTAACATTTATTTAATATAATGAGTCTCTACTATTGTTCTAGACACTTGGGATATAACAGTGAATAAAAATAGGTAATAAAGAATAAAGCTTATATTTTAAAAGTTAGACATTAAGTAAAATGGACAAATGTTTAATTTCAAGTGGTAATGAAGTGGTAAAGAAGAGGATGCATCTACCAGAAGTGAAATGTTGTGTGCTTTTCTAATGTAGGTTAGGTCAGGGCAGACCTGAGGTGATACTTGAGCAGACGACTGAAATGAGAGAAGCAGCCAAGTCAGCAGGAAAAGTTGACAGTGTTAAATAAGTGCTTTTTGGAAAATATCCTTTTGATATTTGGGGTGGGCAGTTAGGGAATCAGATTTATACCCTTTAGAATAAAATAACTAACTTGGTTAAAGACGTTCATGTAAAAAGAAATTGGGATCTTGATAGGGAAGGACTTTTGATGAAGACAAAAATACACAGGAAAATATTAGTAAAGTCTTTATATCTGTTTTGCAAATAATACCACAAAAGATGTAGAAGGACTGGGATTAGGTATTTGCCAAATGTCATAAAAACAAAGGATTAATATCAAGAAGGTGTAAGAAGAGGTTCAAAATTACAAAAATGAACAAAAGCTATGTGTAGGGATGTCTCAGAATAAAATCAAAATGGCTGAAAAACATGATACTTTTACCCTTATAAACTGAAATAACAATGAAAAAGCATTTTTCTACCCATGAGAATTCAAAATAAGTCAGTAAAAAGAGTGGTGATGAGTACTCACATATACTGTTAAATGTCAGTGTAAATTGGTACAGTTACATAAATAATTCGGTAAAATCTAATACAGTCGATGAGCATTAGCTACAGCCCAGACATTACGTTTCTAGGTTGTTCTCAGTGTGTTCACTGACCAGCAACATCAGTAGCACTTGGAAACTGGTTAAAATTCAAATTCCCAGGCCCCACACCGTACCTGCAGAACCAGAAATTCTGGAGGAGTGACCCAGCAGCCTGTTTTATTAAGCACTCAGGATGAATCTGATGCATGCTAAAGTTTGAGAACCACTACATTAGGAAAACACTCGCATATTCGTGCAAGAGGATGTGTATAAGGATTTATTGCAGCATTTTTTTGAAATAGAGAAAAAATGGAAATAATTCAGTTGATCTCCAGAAAGGAAAGGGACAAGTTGTGGTGTATTCATATATACAATGCAATAGTTGAAACAGCCTGTGTCTACAAGGGTAACTTTGAGAAGCATATTGAATGAGAATAGTTTGTAAAATAAATGGCACTTTACACCATTTACATAATGTCTCTAAAACACCAAATATATACATTGTTTACAGATGTATTGAGAAGTTATAGCATAAGAAATGGGCTGGACTTGAAAATAACTTGTGATAATTATTGTCTCTAAAATATAGTTGAATAGAAATATAGTTGATTAAATTTTATTTATATTTTTATTCTAAACCAAAAAACAATGTGTAGAGAGGAGAGACTTTTTTAAAAAACAAAATATTAGTATTTGTTAACTTTGGATGTGGATACATAAATGTTTATTACATTATTCTTTGTATTTCTTTACATTTACAATATTTTTAAACAAAGATGAATTCATACTAGCCACACTGAATACCAAAATTTACCATAAAGTTGAGCTAATTAAAGCATTGTACTTCTTTTCTTGAATAAGACAAGTAGATCAATGCATTAGAATGAAAAGTGAAATAAAAATTAGACTTACATGAATTTTTAAACTATAATTTCATGCATTTTCCCCTTCGTCATCAGTGTATGCAAGGAAATAGAAGTTAAATTATTTGATTTGTCATTTTAAAATATACTAATGCATACATACATATTCACTTTTAAGAATGATTTACGGCTACAGATGGAAGCTCAACGTATATGCCTCTCTCTGGTTTATTCAACACATGTGGATCAGGTTTGTGAATACATGGAAAATGAAAAAGATAAAGCTCTTTGCAGTCTTAAAGAGGAACTTATATCTGCTCAAGAGGAAAAGATCAAGGAACTTCAGAAAATACACCAGTTAGAGCTACAGAATATAAAAACACAAGAAACAGGTAAATGGTTTTTGACAAAATTGTAAGTACTATGAATAAGTATCACTTAGAGGCCACCATCCTGGGATTTTGTCCTTATCTTAGGACCCATAAGGAAGGTAACTGTGTATCCCAGTCTTGATTTAATTTGTTCTTACAATCACTGGACATTAAGTGCTTAAGAAATTTAAAATCACTGAAATGTTTTCCTACAGGAAGTCACAATCCAGTGAGAAAGCAATATAAAATAAACTGTTAGAAAACAGTAAGACAATTTCTATAATAAAAGATTGAATAGAAAGAATGGTAGGAGAGAGGAGAAAATTCTAATACTTCCTAGGAGGGTGAGTAGAGGGAGGCAGTGGGCAGGAGCAGGGAGGCTGGAAATTCAGGGCAGGCTCCTGAATTTTAAACAGAAACATGAGAGACCACATTTGTTTTGGACAACTGAGAGTTCAAGGTATGTGAAAAAGTAGTATGGAATAAAGCCCAAATTATTGGCAGGAGGTTGATCAGAAGCAGCTTTATATACCCTGACTGAAGCATATTTAAGGTTTGGGCTATAGTGAGGGTTGACATAAGATTTTTTATCTTAAGATGACACCATAGGAGCACATTAGGGGTAGTGAGATTGGTGATGAGAACAGTTAAGCAACTTTGGCAGTAATTCTGATAAACGGCAAGATACTTAACCAAGTATAATTGAGGGTGGAAAGGAAAGTTTAAGAGTTTAAAAAGTAGGCAGTAGTACGCAGTTAATATTAGTAGTAACAGGGAGAAGAATTGAAAATGATCCCTAAGTTTTGTTTTTTTTCTCCTCCTTAACCGCGCCCCCCCCCCCCCGTTAAGTTTCTAACTTGGGTAACAATCCAGGGTAATTCCAGTCACGAAGAAGATAAAGAGCAAAGTTGTGGGGGAAAAATAAATTCCTTTTGTAACTTGTTGTGTTAATAATACCCATTGACTTTGAAAAAGAGATGTCCAAGGCAGTTAAAAATAGAAGTCTGAAATTCAAGAGTGAACTTTAGGCCCAAGACAAAGATTTGAAAATCAACAAGTCATTTGAGGTCAAGGAAGAGGATGAGATGGCCTGGGAGACTACTGAGATAGCCACAATACTAAGATGGTACTGTAGGAAACAACATTGAAGGAATTTTAAATGGATTTAGGTAGACTTCCTCTGTTCGAGATATCTCTTGGCCTCCGCTTTAGACAGATTTGCTTGTGGGAATGAGGTAGTTCGTAAGTTTGTCCCATGGAATTGCTCTGTTGAACAGAGTAGAATTTAAAAGAGTGATTTAAATCAGAATAACATGCTTTTTCACTTTAGGAGTTCTTTGGGTTCAAATTTAATAAGATTTTAAGTATTATTTTTATTGGTATCCCCTTCGGATAGAATCTGCCCATTGTTTTTCACACTGCAAGTTAGTTAATGGGCGATGAGTCAGTTTAGTTAGTGATGACCAGCATTTTTAAAAAATAAAAGAGTGGATTAGAACAAAATATTGGAGTACATGGCATGTAGAAAGAGTTAATAGTGATTTGTGAAATTTTGTTTCAGTTTTACATGGATGTATATAGTAGGCTATGATATATGATTTATTTCTTGTATTGGGTTGCAGTAAAAAAATTCTCATGGCATATCATTTTGTAGGATAGAAATTGAAAATCCTACAAATTTTCTGAAACAGTTAACATTGAGCAGTAGAAAATAACTTTGAAAGAAATAAAGAATTTAAAACTCATCTTAAAGTTGCCCTCTTGGGGCCGGCAGTCAGCACTTCAGTCTCATAAAACTAGTCTTATTGCAGAAAAGTTTCCAGGTGACATGTTTAATATGATAATAGTACTTTATGTAAATTGAATGTCTTATTGAAATATCTTTTATTAGATGATGAAATGAAGCCTTTACAAGTGCTCATTGGAAAACTTCACAAGGCAGTATCTGAAGAATGTTCTTATCTTACACAGGTAAGATATTAAACAAGTACTTTCAAACAAATGCTAAATTTTAAGTTAATACTAATTTGATAAGCAGAATCATCCAACTTAGTTTTCCCAGCTATCATACTTCAGTACTGCACATAGAAAGTGTTTCTGAGTTTTTAAGTTTAAAATGAGCAATTTAAGATTTTTTTTTCTGATAATAACTTTGAAACCAAAGAAATTCAGGTAAATTATCCCAGCAGTAGAACAGACAACGGGTATAGCTAATAAGAAAACAACAGACCAATAAAGTCTCCAGCAGGTGTTTCCTGCCCCTGCCCACTTTGGTGGTTGAGTGAAAAAACTAAAAATTCTAATTATACCAATTGTAATTAATCATATTTGTGAAAATGGGGTGAAATAGGAACTCTTATAAACTGCTCTTGGGAGTATTACTACCTTGAGAAGCTGCCAGGCAAGGTTGAAGATATCATGTATATACCACAACCTACTCTTTTACTTCTAGATCGGTTCATATATACACACAACCAGATAAGTTCATTGCAAAAGTGTCTGTGGTAAGTTAAAATATATTAAGTTAAAAATGGGAAACAACTCAGATTTCCATCTATAGGCAAATGAATAAACAAATTGTGGTAAATCCATTAGCAGTATTTGATAAGTGTACTAATGTCAATAAATCTCAAAGGGAAAAAAGTATAAAAACATGCATGCTAGAGTAATCACCTCTGGGCAGAGAGAGGAGTGGATGAAATGGGATAGATAATGCTCAATTAAAAAAAAAATGTGATGATAATATGACAGAATATTAGTATTTGTTAGAGCTAGGTAATAAGCTATTTTTTTCTGCATATTTGCAATAGTTCAACATTTAAAACACATGCTTCAGCTTGTCCTTGATCTCTATCCCAACCTGTGCATTTGTAAATTGAAGGGGGAGAAGGATAGTTTAGTTGGGACAGATAAAGCTGCACTACTGATTCTGATTACCTATAAAATAAAGTACAATATTGCACCAAAATGGGCGGGGGGTGGGGGGGCGGTATGCAAATTACCATATCAAAGGCTTTATTCATTCAGCTATTCTTTAGCCTCCACCTTCACCAAAGGGTTCAGACATTGTGCTTTCATATCCATTGTTGATAGTAAATATGGAAAGAGAGCTCAAGTCACAAGAGTTCATAAGCTGGCTTCTTTGTATGTTTTCTTTTCTTCCATTATGTCTTTTATTGACCCTTAATCTCAAGTTGAAATATGAATCAGCTTTTTGTAATGGAGGGGCCCTCTAGAGTTTTTCATTAAACCTAGTTTTGTCACTAATCATTGATGTTGCCATGGACTAATTATTTCATCTTTCTGAATCCTCATTTGTAAATTGGGTGATCATTCAGATTTCTATTAACTCTGATACAAAATTTCAACATTAAGAATTGTGCTGAAAATTTAATAAACTCAGTTATTGACAATAATATTTTTTAAATAGATTTCAAGAAATAGCTGCCGTAAACAATTTGGCTTTTAAGTCTAGAAGTCGATTGTTATTCTCAGTTGTGTGAGGGGCATGTATTAGAAAGCTTATCAAAGGATTTATGGGGCGTGTGTTTTAAACGATGATAGAATTATCTGTTGCTCGGAAGAAAATAACAGAATTGTGTGCTAGATATTTTTAATTTTTGTGTGTGTATAAACCACAAAAAACTTCTCTAATGTTATAAAAAAGTATATGAATATAACCTACTTGGTATGTTATAATTTCTGTAGAATTTATAGATTTCTTTCCAGTCATCAATTTTGAACTTTTGTCCTTGTCTTCTGGTGTTTTTTCAAGGGTAGTTTACATTACAGTGATAACATCAGAATAGCATCCAAGCTAGAGAATGGCAAATTACAAGATATATTCATTATTAGAAGAAAACAGGAAAAGTTATAGTTTTATGTAGTGATGGTTATCAATATTTTCCTGATCTAAGAAGAATTTCATTTTATATATATAGAGTTAGACTTGATATTTCTTTTGCAGATTGATTTGGTGTTTGGAAAAGTGTTTTACTGATTTTTCTGTTATTTTGACTGTCTTTTGCATATAGGAAAATAATGTTTAGTGACCTTTAGAGGAAGAAATCTACATTTTAATACCATAAAAAATACCCAATTTTGTTGTTAACAGACTTTTTGCAATGTCCTTGGTGAACATCCTCCTGCTTTAAAATGCAAAGTAACTGTAGAAGAGAGAGAGAGTTCTGGTGTTCATACTTCTGAAAATCAAGAATTAGAATTGCAAGATTGTAAATATGAAGTTCAAGGTAATAAAAGCTTAATACCTTATTAATCACAGTTCTTAACTTTCTTAAATCATTCAGTGAACTCTTTCCTTAAATCATGATATAATCACTAAACCAATTTTAGTTTTATCATCTTAATATCTTGTCTTTATTTCAGATTCGTGAAATCTTATTTAATATACATTTTTTGTAATGTAATAATTGTGATATAAAGAAAACTGGAGCTGTCTACAAGTTTTCTTGCCTCTTTACTCCCTGTTTCTCTCCTCCCATCTTTTCCTGACAGTAATTCTTTCCTTAATTTTATACCATAGAGCCAGACCTTTAAAAGTTATTTATTGAATAAGTTTATGTCAATGATATTTTCTTTTTTTTTAAGAATAAGACAAAATCTTTCTTAATAGGAATCCCATATTAGTTTATTTTTCTGAATTGCAGCCTCAGTTCAATTTCTTGGTTTCTCTTGACAGATAAAATTCTTTTGCCCTTGTCCATTTGAATAAAATGTGTACAACTTAATGAATACCAAGAGAAATTAACATATTGTAATAAGAAATTGTCAAGTTATCTTTGTACGAGGTACTTGACATTAATGAGATTTTAGGGGTTTTTATTACTAAATATATGAAGTTTACTTCTAACAGGCATATGAATAATGAACAGATGAATTATTGAAAGAAGCAGACTTTTTCTATGGAGTGAAATTATAATTGTTTGTTTACTGTCTAGACTTTGAAGAAAATATGCAAGCTCTTCTCAACAAAGTAACAGAAGAATACAACAGACTCTTGGTACTTCAGACACGATTAAGCAAGGTCTGTGAAATGGACAATGTATCTTAATGTTTGCATTTATTGTATTACCTGCTGTTTTGTAAGCTGCATCAAGCAAAAGTTTCTTAAATAAGTGAACATGAGAAAGTCAATAATCATAATATATCAGTGAGTTGAAGAAATTTTAAGTTGGAAACTGTTTACTCCTTTAGAGAGTTTTTGAAATCATGATAAAGTAAAAAAAAAAAACTATATAAAAAATGTCAATGAACTTTGTGAAGTGTTGCATTTACTTTTACATATAACTAAAGCAATGGGTCTGTGTGTTTCAGAGAAAAATAGTAAATAGTTTAGTTCTTTAGAACACAGTGTTACATATGTCAGATTTCTTTTCAACACTTTTTCTAGGGTTCTGCTAGGCAAGTCAGCTGTCTCCTGGCTGTGGTTTCCCTCATGGATGCTTGAGGCTGCCACTTCCTCCACCTTTCCTAGTCAACTCTTAAACCCCTTTTCTGTTTTCCAGAAATTGTATGAAATCTCTCTTGATCTCTTCTCTTATATTCTTTATTTTAATAATGATTCAATTAAATTTATTCTGATAATAAATTCAAGACTATGTAAGAGGAGAAAACAGAGATATGACATAACTGAGTATGTTATAAATGTTAGGCAGATAAGTATAGCCGTGGCCTACTGGCTCCCATGTGTGAAGTATTTGTCCCAGACAAACACTGCCCTTAAAGATTCTTCACTATTATTTTAATTGAGTTACGGGGAGGGAAGAGGAGGTGTATGTCAGAGGTCACTGACATAAATGCCTGCACAAACTTAGCTCTTAAAGTAACTGAAGACCAAGTGAAAGCAGGAAAAGTGAAACCTGGGGAAAACATACGTCATTTGAAGTGGGCAGAGGCCGCTCAGCTTCACCCCGATATTGCCACGTATAGAATGGGAGCCCAGTGTTGCTAATTCTTTAAATTTATTAACTTTATGTGGTCTTTTGCTTTTAAAGATGTTGAGACGTATTAAAACTAAAAGATTGTTTTTAATTGGGGAACAACTAGAAGAAAACAAAGAACAAGAAAAACTGGTCCCCGAAAAGAACATTTCTGTAGCCTGGATTTAAAGTCATACCTCCACTTTGCAATCTTAGGTATTAAATATGTGCTCAGTATATATTTTTAAATTTTTTAAAGATTTTATTTATTTATTTTAGAGAGGGGGGAAGGTAGGGAGAAAGAGAGGGAGAGAAACATAGATGTGTGAGAGAAACAATGATCGGTTGCCTCTTGCACGTGCCCCAACCTGGGACCAGGCCCACAACCCAGGCTTGTGCTGTGAGTGGGAATCCAACTGGCAACCTTTGGCTTTGCAGGACGATGCTTAACGAACTGAGCCACTCTGCGCAGGGCACATGCTCAGTATATCTTGAACTAGTTTTTATTTTTTAAATCTACAATTTTTTGACTTTATAGTATTTGCTGCTTCTTAAAATATTTTCTTTCCTTAGCTTCTGTGATTTCAATTCTGTGGCGTTTTAAGCCTTTGTTGTGGGCTTTGCCCACCCTGTGTACAGTCACCACGGTTGTGCAGTGGTCTCATCCACTCATGGCTTCCAGATCTCCATCCCAGATCCTTCTTACTCCTGAGATGCAGGTTCCTGTATCTAACTGGTTATGTCTATATTTGAATATCCTTTATGTATATCTCAATGAACATAAGGATGAAATTGAAATTTATTAATTTGTTTCCATTAAGCCAGTTTCTCCTCTCTTGTGAGTTCTGAAAAATTACATTTAACCAGGAACTTGGAGATTATTCTAGACAGTTTTCTCCCCTACTCCCTGATCTTCCAGTGTTCTGCAATATGCTCTGAAGGGAGTATAAAAGAAATGAAAGATGTATACTTTGTTCTCATTCGGTTATCTAGCCAGTGATTTTTATTTGCTAAATTATATGTCAGATTGTTCTGTGCACTGGGAATAAAGCAATATACCATGTAAATAAAGTCACTAGATGGAAGGAATTTATAAATTGATTGCCTTTATAAACTAATTCAAAGTATATCATGTACATTTATGAAATAGTTATCCAAGGCAACATTTAATTAAATGTTTAGAAGGGAAGTACTTTCAAAATTAAGCAAACAGGTAGATGAATGTAAGCGTAAATAGTAAGTAAGGAAGATGTCTTGGACCGTGAATGGTGTGTAGACTTACATAAGGAAGGGGAGGAAGAATAGCATTCCAGGTGGGAGAGGTAAATGATCAAAGTCTTCGAGGTGTAGGTGTGATATATTTGAGACATATTGTCGAGAGAATAAGAGACTCTAAAATTGGAGAGGATAGGCTATACCAAACTTTGAATGCTATGCTGGACTTTTGTAGACATTTAAAAGCTACTTGGAAATGTGTGATTATGGGCTGGATATCAGGAAGTTGAACTTTTAGGAAGATTAATCTGGTGGCAGTGGGAGGTAGAAAAGAAGGGACAATTCCTAGGATGTTTTAAGGAGGAATCTGAAGAATTTGATACTCAGTTTATGTGGCAGGAAAGAGTAACAAGGCCAAAATGACTCATTTTTTTTTCATTCTCTGTATCACTGTAACTTGCACTTTAGATGTCTGTACAATAAGGCACAAGGTATGGGTGGGTTGAGAGTCCCAAAGACCACGTCCAGGTTCAGTGATGACTGGGGAGAAGGATAGGAGTCAACATACAGTTGTACTGAAGGATAAGATTTACAGCAAAAGAATACAAAGGAAAATCAGTCTTGAAAAGGTTTGATAAGGCACATGGGGCAAAGTCTGGAGGAAGGCAGGGACAAACTTCTGAAGTCCTCTCCTAGTGGAATCACAGGACACACTAAATTTCTGTAGCAATAAGTTGTGACAATATGTGTTAAGTGTTATATATTAATGAGGCTACCCTAAGCCTAGGATTCCATGGTTGGTTGGTTTTTTAAATTATTATTATTAGACATCAGTCATATAAGCATCCTCTGCCTAGCACATACCAAAATCCATACTTCTAGTCAAAGGAAAGCACGTGTTCACCAAAAACTGCAGTGTTTGCTCAGTTGAAGCATGAAACACTCTCACCATTTAGGGGAAATCTTATTTTAGTGTAAGCTGCTGTTTACCAGCTGAGGTCCCAGTTGACAGCCAAGGGCCAGACTTGTAAACAGGCTTTTCTGAAAGAGATAAGCAGTCTCCCAACTGCTTTGTTAATTAAGTCTCTCTGTGTGATGGGTAAAAATGAATTTCCCATTTTAACCCAGTAAGTAGCTACAACTGCAGAGGGAGGCATCCCAGAGGTTGGTTGGGATCAGTCAGCACTGCAGTACACCCCTGCCTCACTTGTTAGCCTCGCGTTCCAGACCTCTTCTTCATTTTAGCCTTACTGAAATAATTAGTCCCAAATGCAGCCGGATTGTTCACATACATAGGCTTTTCTCGTGCTGCGCTTTCCGCTTTACACTGCCTGTCCCCCTCCCATCTTTAGACTTAGACATTTCTTTCTCAGTTCTCTTAGCATCTGTACAAGCTTTTGCTTATAGCACTTACTTTTCCTATTAAATACTTGATCACCCCACCTGTCTTTCTCCTCTGTTCCCATAGTTTCTTATATGAACTTGCATTTGTATCACATTATTTCTCATATTACTGCATTTATTTATTTATTCTTCTGCCTCTTCCACTAGGCTCAAAACCCTTCAGAATCAATGACTCTCATCTTTATTTTAATTCCTCCTCCTAGTATAGCACTTTGTTTGTTACATGATAAAGGCTTAGTAAGTGTTTGCTGAATGAATTAAGTGAAGATACAGAAAGACTGGACTGGAAGCTGAAGAATTTACCTGATGGACTTTATTTTCACTGGGAAGTAGGAGTCAGGGTTGTCTGCTGAAATGTATTCTCAGGGGGTAGGAGTGGGAGGACTTGATAAGGGTGGGAATCAACTAAAATAGCCTTCAACTAAATCAACTAAAATGGGAAATAGCTTTTATCTTCTTGCTGCTCCCCTGTTTCTCCATTACCCTTTGTGCATCATCTATTCTAGCAGTCCAGTCTCATCCCTCTTGCTTTTCAGTTGCTCAGTGATCTAGATCTATCTTCTCTATTTAATATATTTTCCCCACACTTACCCAAACTAAACCCCTCTAAGCAAGACCATTGTCCTTACTACTTAGAACAGGTCATTCTTTCACATATGCTCTTACTTGTTCTTCCTTATTGCCTTTCCTAATCATGGCCCAGAATAATTGAGGCACAAGTCTCATTTAACTTCCTTTATAACTCAGGCCCACATCTGACTTTTTTCTCTGTCATTGCCCTTATAGTCAAACTTTATAGTTTAACACTTCTCTAATTTTTTTATTTTGCCAAGTAATTGATAAAATCTGAGGGCAGATATATCTTTACTGAGTTTATATTCTTCTTCTCTCGCCACAGTACTGGCCACGTGATAGATGACTATTACGTATTTGATGAATGACTACACATATACATCTGATTTATTCCTGCCTAGTTTTAATAGTTAAGGAAATAAAGCTGAGATTTACCTGTTTTTATGTTTCTTCTTTTTGTGTAAAGAGCAGTATACCATTTGTCAGTTACCAGACTGCACATAGGTAATATCCAGAGATGAATAAAAGTTATATTATCTGATAATATAAAATTTACTGTGCATGAGTTGAAATTTCAAAGACCAAGTCATATAAATATTGTTATGAGTTTTATACTAATATTCTGTACAGTTCCTGCTTTTGTAGTAATATGAATTTCCTTCTGGATATGAAAACTTTATACTTAATATAATTTGAGAGCTTTGAAGGGAATAAGATGTGAATCACTGCTTCAAAAGAGAACATGGAATAACTGAGGGAAAAATATTTATATCACAATTTTAGGTGACTTTGAAAAAAACATTTTTAAATGTTAAGTTGCTCTAATATGGTTTTCTAGATACTGGATCATATATTTACATCACTGCTTTTCTTTTATTTTCAATAGGTTCAAGGACAGCGCACAGATCATGAGAAACTTGAATGTGCAGAGGAAAACCCACCAAAGGAGGAAACAGTGCTTTTATCAACCCATTCTCAGATGTCTAATTTGCAAGACATTGGTAATTTTGATTATACACCACAATGTCGTAGTTTTATACCAACTATTCAGTGTTGTTGTTTTTTTTTAAATTTGAGACAGCCTTGAGCATTTCATTGTAACCTCTCTCATCTCGGTTTTCCCATCCTCAAAATGAAAGGTTTGGAGTCATCTCTTTGATCCCTTCCCAACTTTTTACATTTCGTGATTCTAAATTGTTTTCAGATAAAAGACATAAAAATAGTAGACTTAGCGGTACTGTAGTTATAAAGATAGAAGTGATCTTGAATTACACTATTCATGTTTTCTGGTTTTTATCAGTCAGAATGAGTTTGAATTGAAACCTGAGTTGTTAGTACTAAAAAGCATTATTTTTTCAAAGAGGGATGAACATTCTCTGCACACACAAAAAAGTGATTGTGGTATTTCACTAAGAAGTTTGTATTAAATGTGTGTTTTTCTGTTTATATAACTTAGATGTCAGTCATAAAAGCAAGTTCTCTACTCTGCAAGATATTGAAAAAATTAAACAACTTGAAGGACAAGTCCAAGAATTAGAAAACCTAATATCCTCTTTGCAGCAACAATTGAAAGAAACTGAAGAAAACTATGGGGCAGAGATCCATTATTTGCAGAAAAGGCTTCAAGCTGTTAGTGAATCCGCAGTTCAGCCAAGGTACCCATCTACTATAATTTCATTCAATAGTATTTGCAGCTTAATAACAATCATAGTATGATCATTTTAAGAAAAAAATGTAATTTAAAGTTATTTGAAAGAGATGGGGTGTAGCATTATCAAGAAATAAGAACAGGAGGTAATTCCTTATCTTGAAATGTATAAAATAAATGTTAATGTAAACCAGATATTTTTTTATAGGTATTTTACTTACATCTGTATTTTATAAAGATGCTTGTTGTTTTTAATCTGCTGTATTAAATGAGGCGGTGTGTGTGTATTTGTTGTTTGTTGTATGCCTTGTCTTTACTACTGTATGTGGGGAACACACAGATTCTAAGACATGATCATTCCAGTCATGGCTGGACTTTCTCCACTTGACTGTCTAATGCTCATGTTCACCTTGTCCAAAAAAGAACCCTGGATCTTTCCTTCAAAACTCGCGTCTTCTGTAGCCATCTCCATCTAAGGTGACTCCTTTTTCTCTCACGTCTCTTTTCATCCGTCAATAAATGCTATGATTATCTCTACCTCCAAAATGCATCCGAACTGGTCCGCTTCTCACCATCCCCCCAGCCTTGGCCGTCATCATGTCCCCCTGGATGAGGACAGCAGCTCATCTCCCTGCTTCTTTAACTCTTCCCCAGAGTTTGAACTCAACAGTTCTAGAACTTGTCTTCTAAAATATGGGGCAGATCTGGTTATTTCATGTTCTTGTGTTTTTACACTGCCTTACTGGGTCCTACATGATGTATCCCTTTTACCTCTCTGACTTGATCTCCTACTGACTTGACTGCCATTTACTATTCTCAAGCCAGTCTAACTGAGATCCTCAAACCGTTGGTATGCTCCTGCTTTAGGTACTTTTCATTGCTGTTCCTTTAATTAGTGGACATTGGATCCTATCAAAACGTGCATGGAGACATTTGTTCCATGCCAAAATGTTCTCGATACTTAATTCCCACTCTTCTGCAAGATTTCAGACCCCAACACACCTACCTATCCCCATGTGCCATTACGAGCTAGATTATTGAGGCGAGAAGAGTCATTATTGGCAATACAGTCACAACACAATTATTGAACCAATAAAACGTGAATGTATTTTTTTAAAATCCTCACCCAAGGATATGTTTAACTAGACATAGAGATAGAGAGAAGCATGGATCAGTTGCCTCCTGCATGTACCCCAACCAGGGATCAAACCTGCAACCTAGGTATGTGCCCTGACCCAGAATCAAACCCAAAACCTTTTAGTGTATGGGATGATACTCCAACCAAATGAGCCACCTGGCCAGGACAAACATGATAGTATTTTTTTATGTATTAACTCTGTAAATGAAAAATATAAACATTTTGGGTTATTTGAACTCAGGGACATTTTCTAAGCATGGATGTTTTTTGAGAGGACCAAATATGCTTATGGTTGTTGCCGATAGGACCAAATTTTAAGGACCTTTTCACATAAACCAAATGTCTCAGTGGATATTTTGGAAAGGACCAAGTGTCCTGCAGGGGTTCCTTTTACCTGGAGTGATTTTTCTCTGGGTATTTGCGTGCCCAACACACTCATCTTCATTGGGTCTTTACGCAAATGTCATGTTCCCGTGAGGCCTGTTCTGATCACCCTGTTTAATTTGAAATCACCCCTTAGAACTCTGTGTCCTAATTTTCTGCTTCATTTTTCCATATTACTTAATATTTATTATATATATATATATATATATAAAAATGAAAAAATGTGTGTGTGTGTGTGTGTGTGTGTGTATAATTCTTTTTGGAGGGTAGTTAGTTTTGTTTATTGCCTGTCTCCTGTGAAGGACTTTTAACTGTTAGAAGGGTAAAGATTTTTGCCTTTTTTAGCCACTGTTGTACCCCAAACCTTATAATAATTCCTTACGCACAGAAGATGTTCAATAAATATTTGTTAAATGAATGAACAGTTTATAATAATTTATTTGGGAAGTATGCTATAGTATTAACTATTTCTATAAAGTCCTCAGATGTTTCATCTAAATCTAGTTGGCTCTGTCCTTTTAGGACTGATGTCTCCATAGACACTAACCTGAAGAAAATTTTTTTGGTGATGAAAACAGTGAATGTCCCTAGTTTATTGAAAGCAGTATGTTTCTCCTTTTATTTAGGGTATGTATAGGCTTTGGATTGTTCACCCAACATTGGTACAGCCTTATAAAACTTCCATTTTGTTTGAGATCAGTTATCCCCAAACTTGACCATGCATTAGAAATTTAATTTAAATTTTGTTTTTTAATGTTTTTTATTTTTTTGTTTTTAAAATACATATTTTATTGATTATGCTATCGCAGTTGTCCCATTTTATTCTCCCCTTTACTCCCCTCCACCCTGTACTGCTCCTCCCCTCAGCACTCCCCCTCACCCCCCGCCTTAGTTCATGTCCGTGAGGCGTATATATAAGTTCTTTGGCTTCTCCATTTCCTATACTGTTCTTAACCTCCCCCTGCCTATTTTGTACCTACTATTTATGCTGCTTATTCCCTGTACCTTTTCCCCCATTCTTCTTTCTCCCCCTCCCCTCTGATCTTCATTTCTATGATTCAGTTCCTGTTCTACTTGTTTACTTACTTTGTTTTTGTTTTATAGGTTCAGTTGTTGATAGTTGTGAGTTTGTTGTCAATTTACTGTTCATAGTCTTTGATTTTCTTCTTTTTATTAGATAAGTCCCTTCAATATTTTATATAATAAGGGCTTGGTGATGATGAACTCCTTTAACTTGACCTTATCTGGGAAGCACTTTATCTGCCTTTCCATTCTAAATGATAGCTTTGCTGGATATCATAATCTTGGATATAGGTCCTTGTCTTTCTTGACGTTGAATATGTCTTGCCAGCCCCTTCTTGCTTGCAAGGTGTCTTTTGAGAAATCAGATGATAGTCTTATAGGAACTCCTTTGTAGGTAGCTGTATCCTTTTCTCTTGCTGATTTTAAGATTCTCTCCTTATTGTTAACCTTGGGTAATGTAATTATGATGTGCCTTGGAGTGTGCTTCCTTGGGTCCAACTTCTTTGGGACTCGGACTCTGAGCTTCCTGGATCTCCTGGAAGTCTTGTTTCGTTGGCCAGATTGGGGAAGTTGTTATTCATTATTTGTTCAAATAAATTTTCAATTTCTTGCTCTTCCTCTTCTCCTTCTGGCACCCCTATGATTGGGATGTGGGAATGTTTAAAGTTGTCATGGAGGTTCCTAAGCTTCTCCTCATTTTTTTGAATTCTTATTTCTTCATTCTGTTCTGGTTGAATGTTTATCTCTTCCTTCTGCTCCCAATCATTGATCTGAGTTCCAGTTTCCTTCCCTTTACTGTTGGTTCCCTGTATGTTTTTATTTCACTTCGCATAGCCTTCACTTTTTCCACCATTTTGCGACCATACTCAACCAATTGAGTGAGCATCCAGATTACCAGTGTTTTGAACTGTGCATCTGATAGGTTGGCTTTCTGTTCATCACTTATTCTTTTTTGGAGCTTTGATCTGTTCTCTCATTTGGGCTATATTTCTTTGTCTCAGTGTGCCTGATATGTGGAAGGGGTGGAGCCTTAGGTATTCACCAGGGTAGAGCAACCCAGGTTGCTGTGTTGTGATGCTGTCTGTGGAGGAGGGGCCCGAGAGGGAACTATTCTGTTTGCTCGGCTCTCAGCTGACTTTCAGTCCCTTTCCCCACTACCCACAAGCAAATTGGGCCCTTCTAATGCCCAGGTGGGTGGGTTTGTATACGATCTTGGACCTGGTGGGTCTCTCCAACGGACTGTCCTGTGAGGCTGGGAGTTTCTCCTGCCGCCGCAACCCTCACAGGTTTTAACCTCCAGAGGCTTTGAGGCTTGCTTTTCTCACACTGGAACCCTGGATTGTGTGGTCTATTGCGTGATCTGTCCCACTCCCCAGCTCTTCCTCCCGATTCGGCCCGCCTGGTCCTCCAGCCACTCCCTTGCTCCTTGTCCTCTCCACCCGGCTGCCTGTCTCCACCCCTCCTACTGGCCTGGATGAATGTTTCTTGTTTAGCTCCTTGGCTGTTGGACTTGGCGGTTCTGGTAATTTTTTGTTTTTAAATTTGTTGTCCTTCTTTTGGTTGTGTGAGGAGGTAAAGTGTATCTAGCTACACCATCATCTTGGCTGGAAGTCAAGAAATTTAATTTAAATTTTGAATTTTATATTACTGAAATTTAATATAATTTTTTGAATACTTAAAATGACAGACTCAATGCCTTTGAGATGAATTCTGGATGTTTGTATTTGTAACAAGGTAATTCTGATGCAGGCAGTCCATGGATTGATTGTCACTTGGATTCCACTGCTTTAGGTTTTCTGATGTGAAAGAAAATAGATAGATAGCAACTCTACTAACCAGCTGTAGTATTTCAGTAGCCTTCCTTTAATTAGTGGTGCCTTCTCTCCAAAGCATGAATGAAGGGGAGTCGTCTGGAAATGCAGGTTTACTTTACTATTCCTGCATTTGAGCTTTTGCCAGCTTACCACTCTCTCTCAGAAGAAATGACCTTTCAACTAAAATAATTAGTTTCCGCACCCTACCTCTGCCAAAAAGAGATTTACTGACGGCATGCTCACTCTTACTAGCAGTGATGAGCTAGTTATTTCTTGTAAATGTCATCACATATATGGCACAACCATAATACTTGAATAAAGAGTGTACTATTCTTCTATGATAGACTTGAACTAGTTTAAGAAAAATAATTGAGTCATTCATTTAACAAATATTTAGTTATGTCAAAAGCCTCTTAGGGATTAATGAGGGGAGCCCCCTAAAAACCGTAATTATCTTCTGGGGGGCGGGCCCCTTGTAGTACAGGCTTCCCCCACTAGGTGAGTGTTCTAGGAACCCATCTGTATCAGTGTACCAGCTGGCTTTGTTGTGAGAGGCTGCATTCAGATTCATTGAATTTTTTCTGGTGACTCTTTCAAGTTGCTTGCCCTGTCATGATATGATGGGTGACTTATGAGTGCACCCGCCTACAGCTCACTAAGTGTTCAGCAGGTTTCAGCCAAAAACGACATGGCCCCTGTGCCCCACCTTCTCTGTTCACCTGATCTTGCCCCAAGTGACCTTTTTTTGTTTTCCTGAATGAAAAAAATTCCTCAAAGGGAAACGTTTTGCCCATGTGGAAGAAGTAAAACAAAAAATGGCAGAAACATTAAAAGGCATCAGAATTTGACGAGTTCAGAAACCAGTTTGAGCAGTGGAAGGAAATCTTGATTGGTGTATTGTATCAAATGGAGAGTGCTTTGAAGGTGACTGAAGTTTAAACATGTAAGAAGAAATACCCAATTTTTTTATGAATAAATTCCAGGTTTTTTGGGTCCCCCCTTGTAGTGAGGGGTTGGAAGGACCACCAATCTAAGAGTCAGACTGACCTGCATTTGACCCCCAGTTTGACTTTTTACTGCATATATGATTTTAGGAGGATATTTTAAGCATCTCTATAATGATAATAATAACTACCCTTAAGATTGTGAGGGAAGAACCTTGGCTAGATGACACAGAAGAAACTTTAGATGTATATGAAGTGAAACTTTAGATGTGTATAAAGTGGCCCTTTCCTGCAGAGGACAGCAATCTAATCAATTATTTACAAAATTTTTAAGAAGTAGTGATTGGGGACTATAACATGGTGATACAATTGAAATGCTAGAACCCATCTCTGGTATTTTTCACTGCCCACCCCTGACATTTCTGTAGTATTGGAGTGGCTCCAGGAGAAAAGGAATTGAAGGGGTGAATATGAGACATTGGGATGGAGCTATGTTGGGAGCAAAGCAGAGGGAATATGGAGAATAATTGTGCCTTAAGTTATGTAGAGAAATCAGGCAGGTAGGGAGCACGACCTTAATTGTAGAAGGGAGCAGTGAATTTGGTTTTAGCCAAACATTTTTAAATTTGGGACGAGTACTTTCAAATGCTATAAAGCTACAGAATGAACTCATTGTGATTTAGTAGCACTTTTTTAGAGTTTGGATCTTAATGGCTCAATAAATAATCAGGAAAGTTTTCTAGGCTATGACAATAAGAATTAAGACATGAAGCCAAGGATCAGAATAGTGTATGTAAGAAGCAATAAGGAAACAGAGACAAAATGATAAGAAAGATAGGAGAAACCAGGAAAGGTCATAAAAGAAAGTCAAGGCAAATGAGTTTTTCTAGTTGTTTAAAGTGGACATAAAACAAGAATAGGCAATTCACAGCAGAAGAGCTTGCTTGGGCAATAGCAGACTGTGTGTTCTAACAAAGTTTTAAGACTGTTAGAACTTCATGTTGCTGAAGTTTTGAGGAAATACTTAAATGATACTGTTATGGGAATAAAAATTAAAGTAACATTTAGAATATGGCATTATATTACCATTATAAATATTAAGCCTGAAAATTATTAAAAGATTTTTATCATACAGAAACATCAATAGATGGGTGCAAAAATTTTATTTTTGAGGATCTGTATTGTAACAGTATTGGTGGTAGTGAACAGTTGGAAACAAGTGTCTGTCAGTAGGAGGTTAGTCATGTAAGTTATGAAATAAGATGATGATAACTTGTATCTGGCCACTTTGGGGCAGAACGAAAGAAGAGAATGGGAGAAAGAGGAGGAGGCGGGCAAGAGCAGGGTGGAAGGGAGAATGCAGTGTGAGACTGGGAGTGAGGAATTGTATTAGCTGAAAAGAAAATTACAGTTTTCCCCTTTAACCTTTTCCCCATAATACCTAAATATTAATCTTACCTTATTTTTATGACCAAAGTTAAACGTTTCAATGTATTTTTTACAAAATACCAAAAGATAAGACAGATTAAAAATAAAAACATTTCAGAAGTGACTGTGTATAAATTAAGAATCTTCATTCATTGCCACTGCACTCCAGTTCCACTAGAGGTGATCATTGTTACCTTTCATGTGTATTCTTCCAGACTTTTTTCTTTTTTGGTGTGTATGTTTGTGCATATAAATAATTTTTTAATAAAAATGAGATTTTATAAACTTTACTCAGTAATATAGATAACTTTAAAAAAAAATCTGTACACATAAATATCTCCATGTCATACATTTGTAATAGACTTTATAAAATGACATGAAATTCAATTGTGATGTTAAAATACTCTGTCACTAAATTATGTTACCCTAGTCATAAGTGGAAAAAGTAGTCAAAAATGTGAGTTAAGATACAGTATCTATAACTCTTGACCTATCGTTTTTGTTCCCCCCGGCCGAACACACTTTCATGCATGCTTTAAATTTGGGCTAACAGTAAAACTTACACATGATTCTAATTATTTCACCCTCTTTTATTTATATTTAGCTTCCCCACTGATTCGATGGTAATTACTGAATCTGATGTACGGAAAACGGTATACCATGGAAGTTGTCTAAAACAGAACATCGGTGGTACAATAGAGGTATTTTGTCTTGAAACTGTAATGTGCACTGATTTTTTTCTTACTGTTATTTTTATATCTGTGGTCTAGTGATTATCCAGTAAATAGTTACTGAGAAGTAAACATAATAAATATGAGGATAATACCTTATATACTACCCAGAAGAATAGAGGGGTTTTTCCCCCTGAATATGTTCTGATTTAAAACTTACCTTGTTTTATATTACATGGGCTGTGTAACAAATTAGTTTCAGTGCCCTGGCCAACAGCCTTTCTTTTTGCCATGGAAGGCTGGACCAGATCATCTCTAGAGTAGTCTTAAGGAATCTCCTGAACCCAAGACGCTATGGCTGGGACAATGGATGAGGCTTCCTTCAGCACTGGCCAACTAGAATGTAAAAACCCTCATCTTTTACAGTATATGCGATCTAAGTAAACCACCTTCTGCCTCTCCTCAACATTGTATATAATGCCAATTTACGGCTACATTTTTCAGACTTAGAACTGCCAAACCCCGGTCTTAGTAGATTTTTAGTTAAGTTTTACAGAAAATAAAGATCCTTGCTCTCTCTCAATCTGGATACAGAGGAGAGAGATTGGCTACATTTTTGATTCTTTCACATTCATCCCATATGGAGTGTCTATTTGAATGACATTCAGATAATTGGTAAATAAAGAAATACTTTCATGTTGAGAACACGTTTATATTTTTAAAAACCACTTATGGTTTTTTCCGTTTATGAAAATAATTTGTATTTGTAGAAAGTGTATACTATTAATAAATGCCAAGAAGAAAAGAAAGTTGCTTATACTTTCATGAGCAAAGCCAGCCACTGTTAATGTTACTTAAAGTTAAATACACACATCTTATTCATTATATTTAAGAAGTATCTATATTTCACCCTCAAACATATGTTAATAATTATAAATATGTAAATATTTTCGCACTTTGCATCTTTATTAAAATCACAGTACTAAGTACAATTGTTTAGTAGAATTATTCACTAGAATTACTGTTTTTAATTAAGAGCAGAACTGAAATTTATTAAAACTTCTCTGGAGTTTTCTAAGAAATAGTGATTTTTTTAAAAGATATTTGAGAGTAAAAGTTTAAAAATAAATTGTGCATAATTAGTGTAAATAAGTATGTCATATTTTGCTTTTTAATTTAGTCTTCTAGTGGTGAATTTGGAGTGGAACAGGAAACAAATATGGTTAAGTTGCTGGAAAAACAGTATCAAGAGCGATTAGAAGAAGAAGTAGCTAAGGTAAGTGTGTGGTATGTCCAGAAAATTATTGTGATTTATACACCCTTTGAGTTTTCAAAAAAAGTAGATTTTTTTGATGACAGTGCACTTTATTTTTTGGTTACAAGTTTCATACATGTCTCCTCTTTAAGTTATCAGATACTGGCATCAGCCGCAATTGCCTTTAAGTGAATGTCTTTGAGAAAACATCTCCTCTTGATGTGGAATAGTAGAGCAATTAAAACTTTTCAAAATACCAAAACAAATTTTTATAAATTTATTACCTTGTGAGTAGTACCTTATGAAGGAGTTTGGCCTTTGTTAAAGGTGTGGAATATGGTAGGAAAGGAGAAAGAAGGTGGTTGATCTTTTCTATATTACCTTTGCCTCTTCTCCCAGAGAAGTTACTGTGATGTTAATAATTATAGATACTCTTAGCTGCTGTGCCCATAGTCATTCTTTTAAGCTCTTGAATACCAAGTATATCCACCTAGTCCACCTTTATGTTTCCATTTTTTTTTGTCTTTGTATTCACTTTAAAAATGCACATACCTGATTGGGTTCTTATTTTCAACAGTTGAATTCTGAGCTTGTCTGCCTTCTTCTTCTTCTTTTTTTTTTTTACATTATAACAATCCCAGTGAAGTATATGTATTTTAAAGGGGGTTAAATGATAGGATATACAGGAAATGCATAAGGAATTAGGTTAAACATAAATTGGATGAAGAGGTTGAGATCCAAGGAAATATATGGACAATAAGGACTGACTTCTGTATCTGAATTGAATGTTTAGTTCCTAGAGTTCAAAGTAAAAGGTGAAGCATCATCACTTTTATGTAGCTCTCATTATCTAGTTCTTCAGAGAAATGTAGGTTTTCTCTAGTGCTTAGCTCTTACATAAATTTCTCAGGTGGAATGTTTTAGGAAGGCATCGTAGTATAGCAGTGCAGAACATGAGGTTTGGTAAAGGATATATCATGCTTTAAATTCTTGTTCTTCTGGTTTAATAGATTTATGATTTTAGGAAAGTTACTCAACTTCTGAGTCTCAATTCCCCCATTGTTAAAGAGGAAAATAATAAGTGTAATAGTAATTCTTACAAGAATTCAGTAAATTAATGTATAAAGTACCTAGCAGATAACAAAAACTCATAAATATTTATATTTTTGAAATACTCTTATTACTGTGGTAATGGAGATGATATGAATATGTTTTGTAAAGCTTCATTCATCCAAGCTGATAGGAGAGCACCAAAGTGCAGGCCAGTGAAAACTGTTCCTAAGGCAGCCAAGGTTTTGTGTCTGAGAAACACCATTGATGGCCCAGTTTGATCCTAGAACAATATAGGTGGTTGGCATTAGTCATCAGTACTGATGGCATTATGCTCTACCCTATACCCCTCAGGTATGATGATGGGAAAGTTTGAGAATCATTGTTTTAAAAACACAGGGTAAGTAGAAGAAGCCCAAAAGGCACAGTGATTACCAGTGTAGATCACAATAGAGTCAGCTTGTGATTTGACATTCATTTACATTTCACTGCCAGACAGTGTTCAGGGTACTCTGAAAAGAGGAAATCTTTGCTCCCATAGACGTTACATTCTAGTTGGTGCAGATAACAATACACAGATGATAAGTACTCTAAAAAAAAACAACCCAACTCGGGTAATAGAACTGGAAAATTCTATGGGGAGTGAAATGGCGTTACATACATTATACAGGTTATTACAGACAACCTCACTTTTAAAGTGATGTTACAGGAGAATCCTGAAGGAAAAGAGAAAATAAATTGTGAAAGTGACAGATTGAGCACCATTTTAAAAAGTGAGATGTAAGAGAAAGAGAAAAATCAAGAATTACTCCAAGAATGCCTCAAAGAGGTAGCCATGGAGACTTCGTGAGAGTATGAAGGCCACTTGCCAGCTGCCAGCTCTGCAGGTTTGATTAAGTCCTGACACCCCCATGTTCAGGGGACCTCTTTGGCGAAATGCTGTGAAATCCTGGCACAGATGTATCTTCTCAGCAGGGGTAACTGGATACCAGAGGAAGAAATATAGGCAAAGAGACAAGGGCTTGCCCTTCAGGGGAAAATATTACTCCAGCTTATTTGACCTAAGTAAGTGGAAGAATGGAGTTGCTATTTGCTTAGGTTTTGGATGGAGGATAGAAAAGACTGCATAGCAGTAGTTTTTGGAGAGAAGTGAGAGACTTAAGAATTCTGATTTTGACCTATTAAATGCAAATCACTTATTAAATGTCTAAATACAAATGTGAGGAAGTGGTTGGATATGTAAATCTAGAGTTCAGGAAACAGGATAAAACTAGACATAATTTTGGTAAATAAGGTAGCTAGTATATAGAGCAGTATTTTTTAAGCTGTCAGTTGTAACTTATTTTTAAGTCAAGAAATCAATTTATTGGTTCAGGACCAGGATTTTAAATATAAATGGAAAGATTTAATTATATAAACACACAGGTACCTACGTGTGCTTTGGGCCACAATAGAAAACATTTTTTTTGTTGTTGTTTTGTGTATGTTTACCATGGTTACAATGAAAAAATTTTAAACCACTAATACAATGAGTATTGATAAAGAGAAGTCTGAGAAAGTCTAGAGAGTGTCCATGTGTAGAAGTTAGAGAAATGAGGAAGAACAGAGGAGATGGAGAGGAGCGCTAATTTAAATATGGAAGGAACACAAGATTGCATTACAGAAGGCAAGTAATAAACGTGTATCAAGAATATGTATTAAATTGTATCAGATGTATCTGATAAGAAAGATTAGAACTGCAAATTAACCATTGGATTTAAAATGTGAAATCACTGACTTTCACAGCACATTTGATGGAGTAGTGTAGACAAATTGATTAGATTGTAATTGAGAGAGAGTGAAGGAGAAGAATGAACAGATTTTACTTTAAAGAGGAGCAGAGAAATCCAGTGGTAGCTAAAGGGTATCAAGTGGTGGATTTTTGTTGCTGCTATTTTCTTTGTTTAAGTAAGGTGAGAGGTGTCTCATCATGTTTCTGTGTTAACATGAGTAGGTAGAAAGTGGGGAAAACAGCTCATTCAGGGGAGAGAGGAACAGTTGCTGGAGCGGTGCCCGTGAGTGAAAGCGGAGCTGCCACCCCTGGAGGGCTGCCATTATATTGAAGCGCGGCAGTTTAATCCATAATAAAGGAAGGAAGGCAGAAAATATTTGATACATGGTTCACTTATTAGGGATGTTTTCAGATAAGGCATTTGGAGCCTTTGGAAGTTCTCTTCTGATTGTTTTTATTTTCTCAGTAAAATAATCATGATCAGCACCAGAAAATCTGAAAGAATGAGAAGATGTTGGAGCTTTAAGGAGAGAGAAGAGTGCTGTCCAGGAGAAGGAATAAAAAAATGGAGAAGACAATAGAAATTTTTTAAAACTATATTTTATTGATTATGCTATTACAGTTGTCCCGATTTTTCCCCCTTTACCCTCCTCCACTGAGCACCCCCCACCCCCTCAGGCAGTTCCCACACCATTGTTGATGTCCATGGGTCATGCATGGACGTTCTTTGGCTACTCCATTTCCTATACTGTACTGTACATCCCCATGGCTATTCTATAACTACCTATTTGAACTTCTTAATCTCCTCACCTCTTCCTCCATTCCCCCACACCCCTGTCCTATATGGCAACCATCAAAATGGTCTCTGTATCCATGATTCTGTCTTTTTCTTGTTCGCTTAGTTTGTGTTTTAGATTCAGTTGTTTTTAGATTTGTATTTTTGCCATTTTCTTGTTCATAGTTTTGATCTTCTTTTTCTTAAATAAGTCCCTTTAACATTTCATATAATAATGGTTTAGTGATGCTGAACCCCTTTAGTTTTTTTCTTGTTTGGGAAGCTCTTTATCTTCCCTTGAATTCTAAATGATATCTTTGCTGGGCAGAGCTATCTTGGCTGTAAGTCCCTACATTTCATGACTTTGAAATATTTTTTGCCAGTCCCTTCTAGACTGCAAAGTTTCTTAGCTGACAGGACTCCCCTGTAGGCAACTAACTGCTTTCCTCTTGCTGCTTTTAAGATTCCCTCTTTAACTTTCACCTTTAGCTTTTTAATTATGCTGTGTCTTGGCATGGGCTTCTTCACATACATCTATCTTGTTTGGGATTCTTTATGCTTCCTCAGCTTGCATGTCTATTTCCTTCTCCAAATTAAGGAAGTTTTCTTTCATTATTTTTTCAAATAGATTTCCAATTTCTTGCTCTTTCTCTTCTTCTGGAACCCCTATATGTTAATGTTGGACCTCTTGAAGTTGTCCCAGAAGCTGCTTATACTATCCTCATTTAAGGGGTTCTTTTTTTCTTCTTGTTCTGATTGCTTGGTTTTTTCCTTCCTTTTGTTCCAAATCATTGATTTTATTTTCAACCTCATCCACTCTACTGTTGTTTCCCATTAACTATTCTTTATTTCAATTAGGAAATCCTTCATTTCTGACTGGATTGCTTTTATGCTGGTGAGGTCATCACTAAGTTCTTTGAGCATCCTTATAACCAGTATTTTGAACTCTGCATCTGTTAGATTGCTTATCTCCATTTCGTTTAGTTCTTTTTCTGGAGTTTTGATCTGCTCTTTCATTTGGGCCATGTTTCTTTGTCTCCTCATTTTGGCAGCCTCCCTGTATGTGTTTCTATGTATTAGGTTGAGCTGTTATGACTCCCTGTCTTGGTAGCATGGCCTAATGTAGTAGGTGTCCTGTAGGGTCTAGTTGCAGAGCCTCCCCCGCCATCACCCAAGCTGGGTACTTGAGATGCGCCCTTTGTGTGGGCTGAGTACACACACCCTCTTCTTGTAGTTGGTTGCTATTGGCAGATCAGTGGGAGAGATTTACCCAGGCCATTCAGCTGCAGGGAATGGCTTTGACCACTTACCACCAACTTCCACCCTCTGTGGAGGATCAGCTGTGCAGGAACAGGGTGGTGGTGCTCTGACATGGTCTGTAATTGTCCACTGGATATGCTGGCCCTGAGGTTTCCCTGGTGGTGC